TTTAATTTTCTTTTTGAATTTTGTCACCTATCTATAATCTCAGAAAAGAAGAAAAAGAGTACCTTCAAAATTTCCGACAATTCCATAGAGTTCAAAACATCTTTTGGAGGTTTTGTATATAGCATCACAATGGATCTCTAGTACATTTTGTAATGAATAAAATAAGGGGGTTGTAAACCCGATTGCTGTAATATAACTAGTTTCTGTTCGAAAGCACAGATCGTAATTATTCTTTTTCTGCTGCTCAAGAAAAGTACATGCAGAAATAACATGATTTTCTTCACTTTTATAAAATTTTTGCGCATAATAGGACCACCAGTAGTGGATTTGTTTCGAAGTAATTTTTGATATATCAAATTTCTTTCGAAGATGAGTTCGTAAGTGTACTGGATCCATATTTAGGTTTTCTATAATTTCTTGTTTTACTTCTGGAGGTGTTGCAATATTAATAGGTCTTTCATGTATTAACTCATGCTGTAGTGTTACTTTGGCTTTTGCAGCTGGAATGTCAATGTTGATAGTTAATTTGCCACCACAATCGAAACGATCGATTCTTTTGCAATTTGAGTCTTTATATTCACGTTCGAGCTCAGTACTTTGAGAACATACAAAGTATGTATTACCAATGCCTTCATAACATGATGAAATGTTTGGTGCAGTTGTAGCGCTATATAATAAGAATATTAGATTAAAATTAGAAAAAAAAAAATTAAGCAAGTAATATTATGTTTTGATTTTATAATTTACTTACGTCCATTTGAAATCATCCCCTTCTTCAATTTCGTCAATGATCAGTTTAGCCATTACTCTAACATCGATGCCAACAGCATTAAGAATCGCTTCATCAAGTTTAACATAAAAAGTAGAAAATAGAGCAGTATCATTTTCCAATCCATTAATCATATCAAAAATATAATTATTAATTTCATCAATTGCAATTATTTCAATAGGGGCTTCTTCAGTATCAATATCAGTTGTTTTTTTGGATTTTTTCTTTTCGGCTCTATTAGTTTTGCATTCAGCACATGTCTTATATGATTTATTTTCATATATAAACGCTTCAGGAGGAAGTATAC